CAGCCACTGCACTCCAGTCTGGGTGACAGAGTGAGACTCCAACTCAAAAAAAAAAAAAGAAACCATTGCCTGATCACCAATGGCTTCCCTGTAGCTAAGTCCAAAGTTTGGAAACTTTCTTTTCTTTTCGTTTTTTTTGAGTTGGAATCTCACTTTGTCGTCCAGGCTGGAGTGACACATGGCCACCCCAGTGTTGGGACTATAGGCACGCGCTACTATACCCAGCTAATTTTTTGGTTTACTGTAGAGATGAGGTCTCGCCAAGTTGCCCGGGCTGGTCTTGAACCTGCAGGCTCAGGCAGTCCACTCGCCTTGGCCTCCCAAAATGCTGGGATTACAGGCTGAGCCACTGAGCCTGGCTGGAAACTTTCTTGAAGTCATCTGGCAGCCTGAAAGATGAGAGCCCTGAACTGGGAGTCAGGAGCCCTGAATTCCAGCATAGGCTCCTCTCCCAGGGGACCAGCTTGTTGGATCTCTCAGGTGTGTCTGACACCACTGACAACTTTCTTCATAAGACACTCCTCAGTTCTCTGACATCATGAATATCCAGTGTCTCCCAATTCATCTATTCTCCAGCTGCTTTCTATTCTACCTTCTCTGTTCCTCCAGTGTCCGTGTTCTTCAGTCCTGGCCGTAACCAGGAATCTTCTCATGCTGTTGACTGAATATTTGTGTCCCTCCAAACTTTACATGTTGGAAGTGATTAGGTCATGAGGGTAGAGTCCTCATCACTGGGATTAGGGCTTTTATAAAAGAGACCCCGGGCTGGGCTCAGTGGCTCAACCTGTCATCCCAGCACTTTGGGTGGCCAAGGCAAGCGGACTGCCTGAGCCTGTGGGTTCGAGACCAGCCCAGACAACTTGGTGAGACCTCGTCTCTACAATAAATAAAAAATGAGCAGGGCGTGGTAGCGTGCGCCTGTAGTTCTAGTTACTTGGAAGGCTGAGGCGGAAGGATCGCTGGAGTCCTGCAGGTTGATGCTGGGGTGGGCCGTGAGTGTGCCACTGCACTCCAGCCTGGGCAACGGAGTGAGACTCCAGCTCGAGAGAGAGAGAGAGAGAGGGAGAGAGAGGGAGAGAGAGGGAGAGAGACCCCCCAGATAGATCCTTCACCTCACCTCTCTGCCATGTGAGAACACAGTGAAAAGACAGTTCTCTATGAACGAGGAAGTGGGCTCTCAACAGACACTAAATCTGTTGGTGCCTTGATCTTGGACTTTCCAGAATGGTGAGAAACACATTTCTGTTGTTTATAAGCCACCCACGCTATGTTATTTTGTTATAGTACTTCCAAGGGACTAAGACACCCTGGGTGAGCTCCATTTCATTGCATGAGACTCCAAAATCCCTATCTCTAGCTCAGATCTCTCTGGAGTTCACACCTGGCTGTCCCCCTCACCCCTCATGGACCTGCCCCTGGCTCCCACATTGGTCCCCACTCTTGGCCTCCTCAGCCAGAATTAGAGGGCCCCACCAAGCCCACCCCAGAGCTTTAGATCCTTTAGCTCTCTGGGCTAGGAGTATCCGCTTCTCCCCAGAGCCTAGATTCTACAACTTTACTAACCCAGCCTTCCAGTATTGTTTTATCTATTTGAATCTCTAGGTGTGTGTGCAGTGGAGTGTTTGGACAATAGCCATCACTTTAGAATTTCTTTTTTTTTTTTTTGGAGTCGGGGTCTCACTTTGTCATCCAGGCTGGATTGCAATGGCAGGATCATGGCTCACTGCAGCCTCAACCTCCTAGGTTCTGGTGATCCTTCCACCTCAGCCCCTGGAGTAGCTGGGTCTACAGGTGTGCACCATCCTTCCGCCTGGCTAAATTTTATTTTTTTTTAGAGATGAGTTCTCACCATGTTGCCTAGGCTGGTCTTGAACTCCTGGTCTCAAGCAATCCTCCCACCTTGGCCTCCCAAAACGCCGGGATTACAAGCATAAGCCACCACACCTGGCCCACATGGGGTATCTTTCTAAATTTCCATGCTGGCATTCCCCTACTTAAATCCTTCTCTTGCCCCCCCTGGCCTAAAATCCTTGCATGGCATCTAAAGTCCATCAGAATCTTACCCAGCCTTCTGCCCATATTCCTCATATCCTGCCACAGCTTGGTCCATTTTCTTCTTCCTCACCTCCTACACATGCCCCCTGTCCTGGCTATACGGAACTTTTCACTGCTTCCTGAATGCGCCAGGCACTTTCTCTTCCTTCACAAGGGTCTCCTCCGTGGGCTTCAAAACTCCCACTCATGCATCACTTCTCTTGTGCTGTCTTCCCCCACTCCCCAGGTGAGGCACATCCTTCTATGTTCTCATTCCTTTCTTGCAACATCTGCTTCGCTCTACTGCAGTGTAATCGCGTATTGAAGTGCCTGACTTCCCAACTAGAGACAAAGCTCTCCCGGGAGAGAAACCATTTCTGAGTCCCCTTTGAATCCCTAGTACGCTGCAGTACAGGGCCTGGCCCCGCGCATGTCCCGGGGAAAACTATTTAAAATGAGTCGATAATTAACGAAGGAGCAAGTCAACGAGCGCACAGGCAAAGGAAGCATAACAGACCCGAGCAGGTGCGCGCTGGGTTCAGCCC